AGAGAGAGAGAGAGAGAGAGAGGTTTTACTTGGTTAATGGTTTGATTGGGAATAAGGTCATTTTATCATGAAAATTGTTGTTCATGCCTAATTTCTCAGTTATTTTCGTTAAATTTATTATTGAATACATATAAGTTATTGATTTCAAATAGCTAGAACAATTAAATGCATGTTATGGGAAAAAAAAACATAAAAACGGTCGAACCGGACCGTTGGTCATGTCTAGGTAGACAGTTAATTGTTTATATTTTGTGGGGATCTTGTTCGACTTTTCGATTACTTGACTCGAACTACCGAACTATATAGACATGCCTACTTACATTCTTAACTCTACCACAAGACCATAAGAAACTACATAAAGCAACTACAATAATTACATAGCTAATCAATCACTAAAAGGAAACAAAGGCTCTAATCACACAATCAAAAGCGGTACCAATTCCACTTTTGTAATTATAAAAGATAAACATACTTTATAATTACAAGACAGACTTTATAATTACATGACCTAAATGGGATCTATCTGATGATTACTACCAAAGGTACAATTTGTGAAGAATATATATATATATATATATATATATATGTGTGTGTGTGTGTGTGTGTGTGTGTGTGTGTGTGTGAGAGAGATAGCTAATTAAGGGATTATCCAAAGAATGATTAATGTTTGAACAAGGGGTTAACGGCCATGATGATGATGTCCACAATGCACGTGTTCTATGGATTAAAATTAGAACTTTCGTCCAAAAGAAATTAAACTTTTTTAGAAGTGAAAACCTAATTTTAGTTCGTTCCCATAAAATATCTGAAAAAAAAAATCAAAAATTGAAATTTTGGAAATTAGTTAGAAAACTAGTTCATTGGATTCTCGCTGGGAGAATCCATTGGGCTCACCCGGACCGCAGCCTAATGAAACAACTCGGCCCGTTAGAGGCAAATATGGCTCGCAATGGTCACATTATTCCCACGTGCACCAACGACAGGAGGGTGAGCCAACGACCCCGTCCCTGAACGACCAACTATAAATACAACCTTGAAACACGAAGTAAAAGTTATAATCTGTTTTAGCATACATTCATTCTAATACATTTCACTCTCGAATACGCGCATACCGTTTTCCACTAATGCAACTAATTTGACCGTCAGAGTACTAACGCCAAGAAACCCTTTTCCGACACTTGTTTTTTTCAGGTCTCGTGAAGCGTTTGAGATTTTATTATTTGGATCATTACTATTAATTATTCTTGATAAGGCCATGCATTTAGACTTCCATTTGATGTAAATTGTAATGATTAAAAGAGGTTGGTGTATAAAAATATATATATATACATATATATATAAAGAAAAGAAAAAGGAAGGGGGTGTAGTGAGTGTAATGCAGTGGGGATGTTGATCACACTTGATTATAATGGAGAGAGATCCCACGACCAACCATTACATCACCAATCTTGAGCTTGTCTCGAGATTCTCACTTTTTATTCGCAATAATTAATAATGCCTCCAAATATTCCATCG